TTGAAGGGACGGAACCGGATGTTGGTGATGGGTAATTGCTCACCTGGTTAGAGAAAAGCCTGGTCCACATTAAGGCTTTTATGAGGAGCAGAAGCACAATGGTGTTCAGGCTAAAGAAAGCCTGTCTTTTTTTTTTATTAATTATAAGGTCAGACTCTGAGTTTTCTGGACCCAAAAGGCTGAGCAAGCAGCTGTGATGCAAGGGCTGCACAGGGGCAGAATGAACAACTTGACCTTCCACGTGCTTTTTGTGGGGCCCATTGCTCTCCTGATGTCTATAGAAAACACACCACCTACTAGGTCGACCACCCAGACTGTGTTCTCATTGGACCTTAACCTAGAAGTGATTCTCAAGATGGAATTCCTAATGACAGAGGAGCTGTGGTCACTAGTGGCCAAATTGTTCCAACATTTAAGAATATATTTTTTTTATTGATTTCAGAGAGGAAGGGAGAGGGAGAAAGAGAGAGAGAAACATCAGTGATGAGAGAGAATTATTGATTGACTGCCTCCTGCACTCTCCCTGCTGGGGATCCAGCCTGCAACCCGGCTGGTGCCCTGACCGGGAATTGAACCATGAACTCCTGGTTCCCATAGGTTGACGCTCAACCACTGAGCCACGCTGGCCTAGCTGTTCCAACATTTTTAACACCCAGGTGATGACTCCTGAGAAGAGGGGACAAAATCAGGAAGAAGCTCTATTTTTTATTTGGAAGTTGTTAGAAAAACGACTTGATAACGTGCATTAGATCATAAAGAAGCAAGAGCTGCCACGGGAGACACCAATAAGAAGATATACATTTCTCAGTTTACACCAGGAGTTAAAAGAAAATCATTGCCTACTTATTGGTTCATTTTGTAAATTGAGATCAATGAAATTCTCTGAACAACAGCATGAAATCAATCGTAAAATAGCATATAATTCATGGCCAGTATTGTAAATTATAGTTTGCTCGACAGTAATCGGTGAGGTTTCCATGCGCTGGGGTGCATTTCCGTGTAACACGTCTCAGGATGATGCCTGTGGATCCATTTCTGATGCATATCAGAGCGATCTGTTCTTCCCTGTCCACAGCTTTCTCTGTTTGATCTTATGCAAATGATGCAGTCAGGCAAATGGAAAACAAGATGGTTTGTTAAGGAGCTTGGTGAACAGTGGCCTTATGTTTTCAGGGTTCCCCCACCCTCCAGTGGCTGGCTCAGATTTGTGTACATACCCACAATTGTTTGAATCCACTGATCCATCACCTTGCCCTTGAAGGGCCTGATCACATCTGTGGAGACATATTACCAAATCAGTTGCAGTTCGGCAGGGAGGAGAGAGTTACTGTTATATTCCTCTTGGCTTTCAACTTGAAATTGATGGTTTTGCTTAGGGCTTTACCCCCAAAGAATGCCTTAGTCCTGCTTCCCTTGGAACCACGTTTTCACTTTCTCAAAATAACTCTCTAAAAAAGAATCACCCATTTCAATTGTCCCTTTTTCACCTAGCTACTCTCCTCCCCCAACCTGGAAACTCCTCTTTTCTTGCCAAGTTTTGCTTTCTCTTTTCCTCACCATCGCCTCCCACTTCACTGAGGACTTCCCAGTCCAGCCACCTGTGCAGCTCCCTCTAACATGTATCATGTGAGGCTCCATCCCCTTCTTTTTTTCATGCCTCATTATTCAAAGGACACGAGTGACACTTCATCTTCTTATGGAAATACATGAAGAATAATCCACTTCGGGGTGGACAGCGCAGGCATAAAAATGACTCGGAAGTCAAAAAAGCTATTTAATCAAAGACTGGCTTTCTTTGTACTGTTGAGTTTATAGTTTTCAAATTTTCCCAATCCAAAGGAAATCCTCAGTTCCTATTGTATCAGATTTCCCATAAGGATTTTTTGTGAATTAATTCATTTTTAAAAAATGCAATGGGAAGAACATTTTAATTCTGCATAGGATTGGAAATCTTGGGTGTGGTTATCAAAAGCATGAATAAAGGGCAGAATGAGCATGAGGCATTATAAATCTCAGTCAATCAGACATAGCTATGTCTGTATTTCTATGAATATCTGTATTTTTAATTCTGTAACTCGACCTCATATATGTGATGTTATGCCTTCAGTCCCTCTCAGGGTCCCTCCTGTCCTTTGAAGGTGTGAAAGCTTGCAGGGTCATAGACAGTTTCGGTATTTGGGTGTGGCCATCCATGATGCTTCATTCTCTGTGCAAAGGGGTCACTAATGAGATCCCCCCTCAGACCCAGGAGGTCTCGTCATTGCTTCCGTATCACATTGGGGAACTGAACTTTCAGCAGTTCTTTCTCTGGCCCCGTCCTGCTGCACACACCAAGGTTTGTTTGTTTTTTCTGGGTCCGTCTGCTGCCTGGGACTCTACCTTAGAACCAGGTGTCACAACCCCTCATCGCAAGATCCTGCACATCCCTGTCTCCTTCCTTCCTCCCTCCTTCATTCCATCTGGGGTGTTTGACGTGGAGGAAGGGAGGGTCTGTGCCCTTTTTGTTTCTCCTGATCGTTAAATCTAAACCCCCAGTGCCCTCCATTTGGCTCTGTGTAGAGGGGTTCTCCTCTTTCTGCTTTCTGACCAGTCCCATTCTGTTTCACGTATAGTACCTATTTTATAGGTAAGTGCAGACTTTATAATTTAATGGATGGACATTTAGAGGAGACTGTAACTGAGGGAAAGGCATGGGGGTAGGGGCAGGGAAGAGCAGAAGGGGAAAACCATATTGATATTTATGACAACCATATTGATCTTGACCGCATGGCACGGATACCAAATATTATAGAGGTTCAGAAAGAGCTGGACCCGAGGACTTCAATTTGAGGCCTCGCTTGGTTCCTCCAGATTTGCCCAAACCATGGAAAGAGAAAAAAATAAAGAGGTAAGTACAACGAAGGAAGAAACAAGGGAATAAGACAGTTTTCTCCGAGGAGTGCCAAGGGTCCAGCTCATATTGGAAAATGTAAAAGTGTAGTGGACCCTTCAGCGTGTTCAGCCATGTCTCTCAGTCACACCGCACATATATGAGAAGATGCTATGGGAAGACTTGTCCCAGGCTAGGGACTGAGGCAGCAGATACAGAAGAGCCTGGAGGAGGTGACATACCTTAGAGACCTGGAGAACATGACTTTGAAATGAGTCATCGAAGATCCTGGCAAGGGAAATGCAGGTGTTGTGAATACTCTGGAAATGAGAGACTGTGTGGTAGCAAAGGAGGGACTGCATTAACGTGACAAATGGAAGGGGTGGGAGGTCACCAGTCTGTGGTCAGACAGGGTAGATTCTAAATTAAGAGGCTAGGAAATGGCTCTGGAGATGATCAGGTAGTGGGTCTCACTGTGCCGAACGGTGAAAAATGCAGTGGAATGAAGGGCATTCCATGTGAGGAAGTGGATGGAAGTGGAGCCAGATTCGGGGGTGAGTCATTACTGAGGATGTTGGAGTTGCCAAAAAGGTGAAAAAATAGAAAAGGGGGGGGGATGATTGAAAAGGAAACCAAGCCAAAGTGTGACATAGGAGGTGTAACAGTGCCAACTGGGTCCTGGGCATACGTTTTCTTAAATATTGAATTGATATTGATAAACAGTGGCTGTGTTTTCTCCATCTGTGATATACATGTATACCTTAGAAAATTTGAAAATATATGTAATAAAAATAACTCATCCATGTGTCCTCACTCAGAGAGAACCACTGTCCACATTTTGGCGTACCTTTATCTCCTGTTTGTTTTTTGGTCAATCCTGCCCCGAGGATATTTTTTCCATTGATTTTTAAAGAGAGTGTAAGGGAGGGAGGGAGAGGAGAGAGAGAGAGAAATATCTATGTGAGAGAGAGAGAGAGAGAGACATCAATTGGTTACCTCCCAAGCACTCCCTAATCGGGGCTGGTGATCAAACCTGCAACCCAGGTACGTGCAATCCAGCCAAGTACATGCCCTCGATGAGAAGTTGAACCTGTGTATGCATGCGCTGATGTTCTAACCACTGAGCACATGGGTCAGGGCTCCTGTTGTGTGTGTGTGTGTTTTATGAAGCATTTGTGTTTGAGAATTCTTTTTAGGAATTCAGACAAGCACAGAAATATGACTGATGTTTACATCTTGGTAAAGTTGACAGGACTTTGGTGAGATTCATTCAATGAAATAATTGAGTCCCTGTGAAAAGGGGGTACTGAGGATATTTTAGAATTGAATTAGTAAATTACAGCTTAGTTTATTCTAACACATGTATTCAAAACCTATCATGTGTCAGGCATTGTGCTAGATACACAGGATGCAAAATGAATGTAGCACCGTTCCTGCCCTTACAGAGTTCACTCTGAGGGCTCGAATAAACAGAATCAAAGTCACGGAAACAGATCCTGATGCCGGCATTGTGAGCGCTGTGCTGAAGGTGTGTGCGAACACCTTGGGAGGAAAGGAGAGGATAATAGCTCCATCTTGTGCCAGAGGTCATGGCAGGGTGTGTCAGGGCAGCTGCAGAAAGAAACGGGCATTGGCACTGAGACTGGGCAGCTTGAAGGTCAAATAAGAGTTGCTCAGGTGGAGAAGAAAAGAAAGGAATTCAGCCGAAGGAATGACAAGTTCAAAGTCATTGTTACAAGCTCTGTATTTGAATTTCAAAAGCAACTCCTGTTGTCTTCAAATATGTTTTAAAAAAATATTTAAATGTCTCATTTATTTTTTAACAGAGTCACTGAACTAAGGCTAAACTCAGAAACCGATTTACCTGGCCAGGGACATTCAAAAAAACAGTCAAATTGTTCAAATGAAAAGTGAAGCCAAGAGTTTGACTGACACCTGTCTATTTTAAAATAACCATCACATATTTAAGGGGTGAAACAGACTCTGTTTTATTGGCATCAATTTTGATGGCTATCGCTTCTTATTTGAAGCTTTCCTTTCTCCGTTCTAAGAAGTAGGGAAGTAGAGGAGGAGTGAGGTCTTGGGGAAAAAATCTGATTGCAAATGCGTTCTTGTTTCCTGCACCCCCTAGATTTAGCAGTGTTCTCGCCCCACCAGTTTCTGCTGTGTGCCTGCACACATGTGGGATGCGCGAACAGCTCCCTGGTGATGCTGTACACGGCACAGCTGCCACCGGAACACGTGACTCCCCCGATTCTGACCGTCCTGGATTCCAGAACTATAAACGCACAGTGAGTAGCAATATTGTTTGTCACACGGGGGTTCATGCAGGAATCCCAGTGCGTTCAATCAAGGGAAGGGCTTGTGACATAGAATTAATTTCATTGTGATTAAATGCATAGGAGTGATTAGTTCAGTGGTGCTGGGAACCTTTGATTATCCCTTGCCAAGTTAATTTCCATTTTGTCTTTATGCAATCAGGCCGAGCTACATGTGTACACAGCTTCTGTGCAAACCTCACGGAGGGGGAAACTGACCACTTACCCGGCCGCCTTGAGCTTTTTAGATGAGAGGCATTGTTTGTGCTCCTTTGGAGTTAGAGAATATAAATGTACATTTCCTTTTTGAGGATAAACTGGGACCTTCGTGTTCCTTTGCAGTTGAAGTCAGAAAGGAACTTTCAGCTATAGGCAGGTTCAGATTACTTTTGATATTAGTGGTTTTTATCCATTTCCTAATACAAGAGGTACAGGGTATATTGCAGTACTGAGTTAAACCTCTCTTACCACCAGCTACCACTGTTTATATTCATCTCTCTTGGTCTCAATTCCTCATCTATGAAAGAAGAGCTTGGACTCAATAAATTAAGATATTCATTCAAACTGAAAAACATGACTCAATCCCATTGTCCCTAATCTGAACTCTCTCATTGGCTCTCCTTTTTGCCCTAAACCAATCCCACAGTATTTACCCCAAAGATGTCCCACTACTGTAACTATTTCTCAATTTACCAATTTCTGTCTGTTCCATGACTTGCCCAGTTTATGCTCACGAACACATTGGAACCCTTGTGTGGAATGTGCTCTACTCTTCCTACCAAATCCAACCTGTCTACCAAGGACTCAGTCATGCCTCTAAGTCACATGTCACCTCATTCGAGAAGTCTTACTGCACTATTTCAGCCCTTCCAATCCACAACTTCCTGTATTCTATAATTGCTTATTAACCATTCCATCAATGCCCTTTTCAAGACCGTTATGTTATTCTCTCTCCCTCTCATTTCTCATAAGTGCTCAGATGTATTACTTAGCCCAAATTTTGTTCTATGGCTTAAGTTCAAAATCAAATGCTCACCTGAGCAGTGTTGCTTAATTGGTTGAGCACTGACCCATGAACCAGAAGGTCACAGTTTGATTCCCGGTCAAGGCACATGCCCTGGTTGCAGGCTCAATCCCCACAGGGGTGCATGCAGGAGGCAGCTGATTGATTCTCTCTCATTGATGTTTCTCTCTCCCTCTCCCTTCCCATCTCTCTAAAAATGCAGTAAAAACATTTAAAAATATTTAAAAGTCAAATGCTCATACATTTTCATATTGTTATCTAATCTATAATAATCAAAGTGCCCCTGCTAATTAGGCCGGACGACCTTCCAGATGAAGCCGGGACTGTGAGGGAAGCCCGGGTCCCAGGTGCCTGCTGGCAGCCAGAGGAAAGCCCAGGTGCCAAAGGGAAGCTGGTGCCGGCAGCCGGGGGAAGGAAGGCCTAGTCTTGCACGGATTTTGTGCATTGGGCCTCTAGTTAAAATTATAAGTAACTAGAGAACAGGCACTATGCCTTATTTTCTTTATACCATTCAGAATAGACACTTAATAACTACTCGGTTGATGTTTTTTAAGTGAATCACGTTGAGTATTCAGTGTGTATTTTTACTGTGTCCTGAGTCCAGGTTCACACCTGTCCTATAAAGGCTGTGCCCATCAGGCGTGACTTGAAGGAATGAGGATAATAATGCTGTACTTTTCCTAGGTGGAAACAACCAAGAAAACTAAACGGAATTCTGGAGCGCTATCTATTATATATTTCAAACCACATGCCTGACTTTACCACGTGGGATGTCGTCTATAACAGTACAGAGCTTTTTCAGGACCACACGCTACAGTACCTGTTGCCTGGCACCAAATATCTCCTCAAGCTGGGAGTAAGTTTGCTTTTCTCTATCACTTTCTCTGTCCCTTTCCTGTCTCTGCTGCTTCCCTTCCCTTTATCCCATCTTCTCTCCCTCCCTCACTTAAGAAAACAAGAACAAACCCAAAAAACCCTCACGTATCGCTATTCCCACTGAAAACTCACTTCACATCTTAAATGTGAATGATGTTGATCTAATACACTTATTTCATATTATGCAAAATGATGGAATAACAATCTAAGTCAGTAGGTTTCCCAAACCTAATTTAGGATTATCAGAAATTACTTCTTTTTTATTATTTGCAGAATGTCCTAATTGTTGAGGGCTTTTTCCAAAATGCTTGGATTAATAGGGTTATTTTCCCATGGAGCTTGTATTCATTTGAAAAACAATGCACAGTATGAAAATGTAGGTCTTATTTTTTTAATGAAGGTTTCAATGACCCCCCCACCCCGATATTCTTGATCATTATTATATTCCGGTTTACATCACACTTCTATCTCAAAAGGACCATCACTTAATAAAACCCTAGAACCAACATAGTTTACAGATTTCTGTAGACAGACAATAGTCTTTTCTTTTTTCTCATGCAAAATTGCACTTTTATGCGAAGGTCTTTTAAAAGACCTTGATATTACTGTGGAATTTATTCCTTTTGTTTTTTGATGAAATATAATCTTTTTTAAGTTTAATAGCACATCTGAAAATAACTGAATATAAACATGAGATTGTCCCTATTTGTTTTAAACGCACTCTTCATTTTATAGCAATACCTATATAAGGATATTTGCTTTGATAAATGCCATAGAAAATATTCCGCTCTTGATTATGAATAAATTTACATTTATGTAGACACTGTGTATGCATTCATTTTACTTAACACGCTCTTGAATGCTCTAAATATTATACCAAGAGAGAATAAACTACATTCAACCATTGCTAAGTGTCTGACCTGACACCATAAAACAAGGGCAATCAGACAATGTTCCAAACGCTGTCCGCACTGGCTCTCGGTGCCTAGGTGTTCCGCACGCCAGGCGGGCTCATGACCTGCAGCCTTCGTTACTTACTTTATCACCTCAGATGTTAGAAGTGTATTAACTCAATTCTCAGAGGCAAATCCATAAGTCCACACCATTTTCAAAAAAAGTAGTCATATCAGAATCTGGAAAATTCTCTACTGCTTAAAAGCAACCATAATTAATTGTTACTCTCTTGGTTTTTATCAGGAGACAAATGACACAAAACAGGTCTACTCTTGGGGCTGTGCAATCCATGGAAACCCACCTGAGTCTCTCTATGTTTTATGAATCTGTGGTACCTTGAAAAATGAACAACACTGGATTGTGATTCCACTCCCCTGAGTTTCCATTCCGGTTTTGCCACCAACTGTGTGGCCTAAGGCAAATTTACTTAACTGCACTGAGTTCAGTGTTTTTCAAGCCTAGAATTAGGATTTTTGAACTAAATGCTTTTTTAATGTCTTTTTAAGTCCCAAAATACTATGATGCTAAAAAGGTGACCCCCAAACAATATTCTATGGAGTCAGACAACATCTATCAGCCCCTGAATAATGTTGTTGCAAGATTGTAAAGATGTGGAAATACATTTAGGGAAATACATTTGCTCACATTATTTTTTATTTCACCATATTTATTAGGGCAGGAAATACATTGACATATGTTCAGGAAGTGTACTCAAAGGGTTTTTTACTCAACTCTGTTAACCAGTAAATGAAGTGAACCAGAATATTTAGGTTTATCTTGGTTAATTAAGGGATTACCGTATATTTCTCAGTTTCAACATCATAACTGGCTTTCACGGTTGTAGATTAGTAGATGGAGATCCATATTCTCAGCCAAGTGGAGCGGCCTTTATAGATCATCTTAACATGTTGACTACGTGTTGGAAAACAACCTGCCAACAGCGCCTTTAAGCAGGCATTTTAGGCAAATGCATTGGAGTGGGAACCGCTTTGATTCACTCTAGACTCAGAGCATATATGTTACTTCACGTGGTTTTATTTGATTTTTCTTGTTGACTGGATTATAAACTTGAACGCTAGAGACTGTGTCTTTCAAAATTCTGGCTGCAGAGTCAAGCACAGTGCCTGGTGGAATCTGAAAGCTCAGCAAATGATTCTTGAATGAATGAACACTAAGCATATTGATTTCATAAAGAATCGGAGGCTTCTGACATACATTAATTTGCTGTAAAGTGTCAGAGTCAGGGACTATGTGATTTCAAACGTGTTCTTTCCACTAGAAGAAACAGCACACTGTTGTTACACTCGACACATGGAGTCGTGAAGTGTGGTTGTCCCTGATAAACACAGTGCCAGCGATTAAATAAAGAAGATAGTGAGACACACAAGTATCCAGATATGTATGGTCTGGTAATTTTCGTATCACTGCTAGACATTTGCCTCTTGATGAACGTTGAGTGTTAAATATATTTCGTGAAAGGGTTTTTGGAAGTGATTCTTGGAAATGACCTTCTTAAAGGTCATTTATAGGTAATCTGGCCTTGTTCTTTTGCTTAATATATGCCACATTATTAACATCCTCAGAGCCTACTTATCTGAAAGCAGGTGAAAGAGAAGGCTAGTTTTGGATGTTCCTTATAGGCATGATTTCAAAAACAGTTGAAGTACTTTCATTAGTCACGCATTTCATTAGACCAAAAGGGAATTCCCTATTTGGTCAGAAGTGACTCATCATTTCAGGGTAGTCTCATGACTTTGCATTTTGTTAAGTGGCTATAACTAATGAATGCTGTAGGAGATGGATAGAGACCACCTTATTTTAATGGCTCAGAGGCTTTCAAAGACTTTGCCATTTCATAAAGGCATCGTTAGTCAACCCCACTATTTTGTTTAGATTTTCCAAACCAGAATTGTAATGAGCATTCAGTTGCATTGAACGCAGTGGCCTCTGGTGCTGGCGGGTCAAACCAAATGCTGATTGGTTTAATTTCATTTAGATGATATGAATTATTAGATCATTTGGGACGCACCTTAAGAGTATGTATTTCCCTATAGATGGCAATGAGCTATTGTACTGCTCTCTCCACACCTCCAAATGCCTGCAAGAACAATGTGGCAAATCCACAAAATATTGTGCAGGTAATTCTGTCATTTCAGCAGCCCCTGGATAAATTCTGCTTCATTCATTTACAAGAAAAATAACCTCAGGAATTCTTTAGATCCTTACGAAGTTCTCTGTCACATTACTTTTTCATGGATCTTCCCAACAACCCAAAGAGCAGTCCTCCCAAACCAGAGGCTGTCTTTGTTTATCCCAGAAGGCATCCTAAAATTCTCAAAACCAAGTACATTTTCATTCACATTCTGTTATTAAAAATATATGGTTTGATGTCCCATAGAACAGTATTTCTCTGGGGAGAGTTCACAGGGAAAAGCCTGAGGTTCTGGTTGAGAAAAAGAAAAGTGACAAGTCGCCAGTCAGAATTAAACCCCATTGAGGTAGGAGTTTAACAATAAGATGCTGCAACCTTTTCCCCCTCCCAAGGCCAAACTCTGGGAAAAGATGGATTTCTCTCCTTCTGGGGACGGGAAAGAAGGCTCTTTGGGCCACTTTCCCATGATGACACCACTGTCCCCCATGGCCTCCTTTCTGGCCACATTTTCTGGTGGATGTTCAGCATCTGGAAATGTTCTAACCTTTCTTTTTTCAATGTTCAGATTGTTCTTGGGCTCACAGTGACATATCCTAGAGTTTTGAGTCAGGGTTTGTCCACAATGTCAATTGATCCTTCTTTATTTGCAAAGAAATCTGTTCTCAGGAGGAAGATGGCTTCTCTCTTCCATACATATGCACAGGCCACAGCTGAGAATTAGAGGCGGCCCACCGAGGTTAATTAGGTCCCCAATCTCAATGCAGTGCCATGCCCGGGCCACTGTTTAACCCATCTGAACCTGGCTGAGACTGCTGAGAAATTATCCTGAAAATCTGGGCTCACTGTCGTATTTTTCCCATAGCACTCGAGGTAGATCTCCATGTCGATTGACCATATATTGTCATTTGTACCTGTAATAGATAGTTTGCGATAATTTCACAAATATTAAACTTCACTATAAAAAAAATCTCTAAAAATCAGTCAGCTTTCTCCTGTCTTCAGGGACAAGAATATTGTCTGCTTTCAGTACCAAAGGTCATTCCCTCATTATCAAACTGAAAAGCAGGGACAGGCCCAAAGGATAAAGGCGTATTTTAACTGTTTATATTCGTAATATCTACCTTTCATGAAAGGGACTCAGTGTCTGCTTTTTACATCGTCCTATGATTTTTTCTTCCTTTTCTTATTGATTTAGTAAAGTTTAGTGCATTTTTGAAAGATCCTTAATTTTCACTGGCCAATTACAGTTGTAACCTAGAGAGACGCTGAACAAAGCTTAAGTGCAGTTTTCAAATATCTGTTATTTATGTGAAGATGTATTTGCTAATATTTGCCAGCAAATTTAGTGTAGGAATCTGTGTTCTGTCTCAATTTCCTGCAGAAATGCTTATCCAGCAACTTAGGGAGTGAAGATATTTTCCTAATACTTTTAAATGTTTATTTGGGGATGATTTGGAATTTATTATGAAAGTGCACACAGAAGTGTCCTCCCATTTCTAGCATTAGTGATACCTTATTAGGTAGGGGGGAGAGGCAGCTGTGACCCTTTTAAATTTGTCAGCCGGTTAACAAAGCCCATTTCCTCGGGTGCATAAGTAGTGATTTGACCCTTTAAGCCAGTAAGCTGCCCAAGGAAGTGCCTTTGCTATTGATTTATGAGAAATATTGTTGTATTCGATTACACGGTTCTACTTTAAATATATTGGTCACACTGTAGTAGTGTGGAACACATTTATTTTGTGGGATAAAGAAAGCTTTATTTCAAAGAATCCAAAACTCTTAGTACGAATTACTTTTCTTCAATGTCCATCTAAACTTTTGGGACGCAGGGTGAAATGTGCTTTTCCCCCCCGATTTCCATTCAGGCTTGCACGGGGGGCGGGTGCACAGTGAGTGAACCCAGTGAGGCCCGGACGGAGGATTGCTCACCAGAAGGCGTGCCTGCCCCCAGAGCGCACTCCTATTCACCCCACTCCTTCAACATCTCCTGGACGGAGCCTGAACATCCGAACGGTAAGTGAACTCTTTTAGCCTGGAGTCAAAAAGATGATTAGCAAAGGTAAATTAATAGTCTCAATGGCAGCGTATATGTGGAGCTTAATTTTTAATGATCATTTTAGCACATAAAATACCTGAGATAGCATCTTGGCCTGTAGTTGCGAGATTGTGGTTTTTAGGCTAACACACAATTTTAGTGGCTCAAAAGTGCTCCCTTTTGATAGTTCCTGTGTACTGCATCTTCTTGTTAGCATGTTCCCGGAGAGGTAAGGAGACCAGCGAGGATTCCGAAAGAAGGCCCCTGTGACATTGCCATTGTATTTGCAATGACTTACTGTTTTCAACAGTCATTCATTCTTTCTGGGAGAGAGAAGCAGAGGCGGAAAGTTTATGCACACATTGTATTTCAAAATGCTTTTGATTCAATAAGTTTATCCTAACAGAGATCACTAGGACCTCCATATTTTTAATATATTCATAAATATTTCATTGTGCTGTTTTTAAACAATGCATACATTAAATATACATATACATTTACACTTGCCTCAGGTGAAAAAGATTGTATATGTTTCTAAGTGGTATACACATCTTTGAATAATTCAGAGAGTTGTTAGCCAGTTAAAGTTTACTAGAATAAAATCTTATTATAAAGAGTTTTTGTAATAACTTGGGGTGGAAATTGCTTGATTCATTGATGGACAATGTTTTTATGTTTCACACAGCATAGGGTCATTGTTCCAAACTGCAGAAGCTTATATATAACATCAAATTTTGTTCCTCCTTAAGATAAATATCAAGAAGACTTTTAATCTCATAGAAACTGTTTTAAGTAACTCATTACTGAACATTGAAATGGCCTCATTTAGCCTAGACAGAAAGAATGAAAGAAAAAAATTGCAGTTTTATTAGTTTGTCTTATGTTTATTATGATATTAATTATTCCCGTCATCTCGTTTTAATTAAACTTTTGGCAAATGCAGTAGATATATTGGAGGTGGTGGAGAGAGTTTTAATACTCAAAGTGAGTGATTATCTCTGCTATTGAAGTTATTCCTGCACTATTATAAATTTTCTAATAAAAATAAATGAATGTCCATTTGATACTTACATTAAACAGTGAAAAATCTTGTCATACTTCATGCTCCAAAAGGAAGTCTAGTCCATGGGTGGCAATAGATATATTAACGATTTATTCCAGTTGGAATGTTGTTAAATGCTATGATATGATTTTCCCGGTGAACACTTTCTTTCATGCCAGTTTCTAGTTGCAGCTGGCTTTCTGGCTGCTCTTGGAATCATAGGTTGAATAGAGAAATACTTTCTGTGTTTCAAGAAATCTTTACGTACTGTTTTGTGCATTTAAAAGCATTTTTTAAATGTATTCATTGAACAATAAGAATTTGGGGGATTTGGGTGATGTGTGTTAACACTTCTATCATATTCTATGGTCCAGTGTTTCATCTTATCAGAATCTTAAAATGTTTCTTGTGGGAAAATGATTAGATATTTGAAGAGTAATCGTTTCACTACACTATTTTTTTTCTTCTCTTCTCTACTTCTCTCTTTACTTTCCCCAAATTTACCAGCATTTGCAGTCTACTGTCCATTGCCTCGAGAGGGGTGATCTGATTATTGGAAACATCCCATTGACTTGGTCATCAAAATGTGGGTGACTATTTAATACACCCCTGTATGCCCTATCTCTAGGCTCTAACTTAGGTTGAGACCTCTCCTCCTAGCACCCCTTCTGGAGACCTCCACACGGATCTCAGTTACATTTTACACTCGGAATATCCAGCGTGTTCTCTGCTTCTCTGTCTGCCCTCTCTCCTGTGTTCCCTCGCTCACTGATAAGTGCCACTCACGCACACCAGCCAGGAGCCTGGGTGGCACTCGTGACTTGCTCACCCCGATTTCTCTTGCCACACTCCTTCCAACTGCGTCTTCTCATTAAGGCGCTAGTGTTTATCACCCAGAAGACATCAAGAGCCTCCGCATGCCATGCTAAAATTCAAATTTGTCCATTCGGAGTGTACTCCTGATAACTTACTAGGTGTCATCATTCTGATGACCTACTAGGTGTCGTTGTTCTGATGACACCACCTCGAATTTGCTGAAGCCTTCCTCTTGAGTGTGTTAGAGTCTCTGGGGGACATATCCATGTAAATAAATAATCACAAGGTGAGAGGCACAGGAGATGCCAAAGTGTGAGAAGAAGAAGCTTCCTGAGGAGGCCCACGGGGTGTGGCTGTGCCATCCCTCGGGGTCCTCATTCAGATGTAGTGGGTCCAGATAGGCACCTGCACTTAGAAGGTCATACTCTGTGACAGGTGCTGCTCGCCTGGGTTGGTATGTTCCAGCCTCTAAAATCTTGACTCTGTTAGTCAGTTATAGACATAAATAGATTATTCCACCAGGGCTTTATACACATGAGACTCATTGAGAGACAGTAAACCACTTTCTGTAATAAGTGTGTATATTTTCAAATGCATGCCTATATGTGACAAATATATGGAAGGCGTGGAAGGTTCCCATGCAAATGCCCAGTTCTTGCCTGTGGAGCAGTTGGTGGCCTCAGCCAGCGTGGCTTAGGGGGCAGGCTCTGTGTTTTTCATTACAGGTTCCCATTTACATGCTCAGCTCCTATCAAGAACGTCCGGTGAGAAATCTTACCTAACAATATGGTGGGAACATCTTTCCGTGGCAGCTAAGTGGTGCTCCACTTCATCCTTTGAAAGGCATATGGAATCCCAGTGGCTGAGCCCCAGCCCACGTGGCCCATCTTTTATTGATGGGCACCTAAGCTTCCATGACTTCGTTATTATAAATAATGCTACTTGCGGTTAATTGCCTTGGTGTGCCAAGAAGAATTGAAGCACCGATTCCTTATCATTTGATTGACATCTAGGGCTTTGCTTTCCTTCGGATAAGCCCTGCTTCATTCTCCTCCCTGGCTCCCCACACCTGCAAAAAGGTGGTGCAGGCTCCGGCTCTGTGTCCAACCAGAGCCCTTTGTCCCATAGTCCCTCTGGCAAAGGTGTTCTTTGCAGGCTGTGATTTGGGGCAGGACCTTTAAAACCTCTGAAAAGAGCTCCTTTTAGACCCGAGGTGGACGAGGGCTCCTCATTTTGTAGGGCCCCGACCCTTCCTGTGTGATGCCACTAGCCATCGATGAAAAGTAGCACAAGGAATGGCTGTCTAATCCGTTGGCGACCTGTCTTGTGAGGATTGCAACTGCATAATTAGAATTACGTTTCCAGAGCTTCCAACGTCTCATGAGCCATGTTCCCTCCCAGAAGCTTAGGCCTTAGTGTCTGGAAATAAATGTTTTGCTCACACTTGAAGTCTGCCTAGCTAAAGTCAGCATAATACCTGACGACAGCAAACTTACACGTCATTAACATTTAGTGACATTCAGTGAATTAAAAAACACTAAAATACAGAATAGGAAATTCTTATTCTTTATGAATACTTACAATTCCTTGTCACTATCCACTCTCTTTACCTGAGAACATTTCCCTAAAACAGTTTCCCTGTTACCTGTGACCCACATGAGGGCGGAGCCCTATGTCCCTAGTCACCATTGTAGTCACAGCACTTGGCGGTGTACGAGGTGTGAGTAGATGGGCATTAAGCAGCTGTTGACGGCATTAATGTTCGCTGAAGATAGAGACAATAATAAAATGGTAATTGTGTTGATGGGAGAGGCATATACATACGCAATCATACAGAACACACAAGTGCACATTTACAGCGCATCTCCTAGTTGTGTAACGGAGGTGGGATGATCTCGGAGGTGGGGGGAAGGCATCCCCCCCTGGCCTGCTGAAGGCTCTGTGTGCTCTGGGAGATCCAGGCCCCTGACGTTAGCCTGTTCATCAGTACATAGTCCAAAGAGAGGCCACGCGTGAGGCCGGGCTCTTGGCTGCCTCCATGTGAAAGAGTATGTCGTTGGCACCATCAGGATTACGTGATGCGAAGGTGGGCCTGGTAAGAGAAGGACAAGAGAGTTGGGCCCCATTAGGTTAGACAAGGGTCCTGGTGTCTCCAGCAAAGAAAGAGCAGTCGAGGAACCCGCAGAAGCATTGCCATAAGCTAGCCTTCCGGGTTGGGCCAGCTTTGTGAGAATGAATTCATGGCTGTGTATCAAGATAGTGGCAGTGATATCAATAAGAACAGAAAAGTCTCAGGAAGTTAATTATTTTTGCAGACTTAAACATAGTACCGTGAGGACAACTAATTCTATTAAAAGAATTAGTTCCATTTTTTGAGTATATATATTAGTTCAGAGAAACCAATGGACTATAGGTCTTTTTATACACATCTAATAGATGCTGTCCTGAGGACATTGAGGGTGGTAGAGAAGGTAAACACATTTTTATAATATATGAACATGAAGGTGTGCATGTAAATATTAAGTGCTCCCCTCATGCAAAGAAAGGATTTGATTTCCTGTTAACACAAATAATAATAGTAATAGCAATAACAATAGCTACCATTTATAGCTATGTGCCAGACACTTAATTCTCGTCAGTAGCCCATAAAATAGGTATTATTTCCACATTCAAATGTGGAGACTCCAGTTTATAAGTATTAACCAATTTAACTATCAAGATAAGACAATGAATTAAGTAGAATTATAATACAAACAGGATGTGATAACTCAAAAATTCATGGTTTTACTCCCTGTACTTCTGTATACATCAACTTTTCATGGAAATGGTCATAATATAGTATTCCATCTAGTTATGTGAAAATATATTTTTTAGTTACTTTGACTTGTCTAATGTGTTCTCAGTGCTAATACATATTCCTAAGATCTCTATTTTGATTTTTCTCCAGTTTTAAAGAAATAACTGTGCGTATTTTTTAAAGAAACTTTTATTTTGAAATGCACTTATTTTTAAGAAGTCAAAATGTGCTTCTATTGCCTTTCCTGGAAATGCCCCGTTTTAGTGGGAGACATGGGTAATGGGATTCAGCAACTCACTTAGGAAGCTGCTTGACAGTTTCGA